TCTTTCGCAATGTTTCCCTCCAGCCAGCTGATGTTGCTGTTGCACAGTGAGCAGGGAAAGGTCTTGTGTGAGGTCCAGTTCAGCAAGTTACTAGCCCTGCTCCTTTGGGGAATGCACTTGGCTTCTTTGGGCATCAAATTCTACACAGAGCTGTGCAGAAGCTAAAGCATTTAGCTTTGTGTCTGACACACTAGTGGATGGCAGCCACTGGGAGTGTATTGTCTAATCATCCAAGGCGCCAAGACTAAAACCAACTTACTTCCCTTCAAACAGAAGGCCTTTTACAGTTTTTCCATGGAAGCAGGAATTGACGAGCTTTATTCTATCCCAAAGAAAGACTCTTTATTATTATTGGTCCAATTGTCATATATAAGGCCCCTTTTATTTTTATACTCCTAAGTATTTTTCTTATACTCCTAAGAACAAAAATTAACCTTATGACCCTGGGGAATAAACTTGGAATTTTTAGAAACCTATAAATTAAACCTATTATGTATTTGTGACTAGCCATGGTCTTTACGTTCAATGTTATACTAAGGTCCGTAGTCAAATTAACTATAATATTGGACACAATTTTTAGTCTCATTGTGCGCATTGCTGTCTTTTTCCGAAAATATTAAAGGTCTATTTCTCTTATTGGCTAGTTTCTCTTATCTTCTTAGTTTACAGCAATAGGTAAAAAGCTAAAATTGAACTGTTTGGCACCTACTGATATTATAAGTAAATGGATTATTATGTTTACTGTGAGTCATATGGACTAAACCCAGAAATTAAAACCTATAAATTAATTCACTTAATAAACATTTAACAAAACAAACAATAACAAAAAAACATATATTCCCTCAAAAACTTCATGGTAGAAAAAGACATCAGTAAGTATACATAATTAAATGGGGTTTGATAAGTGGGTTTTTTAAATGATATGCATATGTAGACTAGAACCAGTTAGCATAGATTTGCATCCTGGACACTTCTGCATTGTTGAAGAAATTGGGAACACACTTCTCTTGCACTAATCTACGTGAAGCGAAGCCTCTTTCATATGGGTCATGTGCTAAATTAGAAACCAGGTTTTGTTCAATTTTTAAGACATGCAGAGATCTTAAAATACTTTCACTCCAGGACATATGTTTAATCAGATTGGTGTTTGCCAACTCATGCTTTAAAAAATTAAACAGGCAACTTAGAATAAATTGACTTGACAACTGACAAAATATATCAAATCTTTGCCTTTCTATTTTTATGCTTTTTATTGTTATCTTCGAAAGAGCTATTTTTATATTTCTTCCACCAGGAAAAAAAATGGATTTTAGCCTGTAATTTTCCATTTAAAGAATTAGTCTGATAATTTTTCTTCACTGTCTATAAAATTGAGTTGCTACAGACTTCTTCAGTAAAACACATACATGCTTATGAATTAAATGTATCTTGAAAATGCCATTTGTTTGAAACTTTGTACCTAACCTTAGCTCTAATTTTATCCTGAGGAATACTTTTGAAGAATGGAACAGAGAATTGAAATTACTTACAAGGAAACAATGTGTACTTTCATGAAAAAATATTAATCATCTGTAAGATGATAAAGGTGTATATTATTTGATTTCATGAAAATATTCCTTCCTTTATCTTTCACTTTTTAATATAACTCACAATAAACATAGTAATCCATTTATCTATAATATCAATATGTGCCAAACAGTTCAATTTTAGCTTTTAACCTATTGCTATAAGACTCAGATGATAATAAGAAAAACTAGCCAATAAGAAAACAGATCTTTAATATTCTCTGAAAAAGACAGCAATGTCCACATTGAGACTAAAAATCATGTCCATATTAAAGTTAATTTTGACTACAGACCTTTAGTATGTCATTGAACATAAAGGCCATGATGGTCACAAAAACAATTTGGTCTGATTATAATCACTTGTATTTCATTTTCATGTCATTCTTGGAGATGATGACGATGATTACTGGTAGAATATTCAGCCAAAAACTCTAAACCCAACACGTTAAAATATGATACCTAAATTACTCTCTTCCTATAAATCCTTAGTTAAGACTCAGCTAAAAAGGCTTCTTTCCTAAAAAAACACGATAAAAAAAAAGTAAAAAATATATAATAGAGTATGCAATAAGCTAGAAATTTAAGTTTGGATACAAACAAAAATTTATATAACAGAAGTACCAGAAACCTCATGTCCCCTGCCAACAAAGTGTACTCTTTTCAAAATGATGGGCTTTATCCACAGGCAATTAAAGCTGAAATCAATCCAGTGATTCAATGATAGCTTAATGTCTCATCACAAGGGATGCCTATATTTCAATCTGGAGGAAATCTTTCTTTTAGTAATAGCATTATTTTCAAAAAGTAAGCCTGGTTTCTCACTAAGTATACTATATGCTATAGAACACAATGTAGTATAAAATAACCACCATGGGTATTAACTGGTTGGCAAGAAAATTAATTGCCAACACATTTAAAGCTTGAATTATTTATGTTACTTCTATCTTCCAGTCATTCCACAGGGTGGACGCTCCCCAAGTATTATCATGAGCATGCAGCGTCCCCCTACCCCTTAACTGTGTTGTTCTGTGTAATATAAGAGGGATCTCGGAAAAGCTTCTGTGATTCAAAAGATTCCAAACTTTTGATTCTTCTCAAAATGGATGAGTTTCTAAAGATGATAGTCCCAATTTTCCCACTCAATTCAGAAATAAATCCCTTCGATTTCAATGGCATAAGATGAATTCTATTGTATAAACACATGGATATAAAAGACTGAACTACCAGATTCATTTTTTTAAGACTGTAATACTGAAAGGAGTGGTGCTATATTATTGAAAAAAGATTGTTGAAAGTAAAAGTAAACTCATAAAAAAGATGTTAAAATTTTAAAATTCTGGCAAATTTTAAAATTTTCTCAGTTACGAACACCTAACATGGGAAAGCTTGCACAAATATGTAGAATCATTCAAAGGATCTAAATAAGGAAAAAAATCACATCATACAAGCTTCTTGTGACCTTTGAATAAGTCAAATATTTATTTTGCAAAAGCAATTTACATTGACCAAGAAACATTATCTATGTCAGAACTTATACAATAACCCATTCTTCCCTAAAATAAAATTATTTTTAAATTAGATATCATAATAATTACATTTTCTTTTATGAAAAATAAAAATAGTAAACATTCAAAATTAAAAACATGGAGCCTACCCTACATAAACTTGTATTAGGTTGAATAGACATCAATACGACATACAGATTTGTAACTGAATTTGTGATTAAAATTGAAAATTAAACTCATGATACTTTATTTTTAATGGCTAAGGAGTAGATTATAAACCCTTTACTCCATCCCATTTAAAGAGAAGAGAACTGGAACCAATATTGACATCCAGCTTTATGTCACAGAAGACTTTCAAGATGAACTGTCATTTTTCCAAATATAAAATTAATATAGTAGCATAAAATAGCTGCAGGCCCATGTGTCTAGATTATTGAGACAAGCATGAGGAGAGGACACCAGGACCCCAAAGCCTCCTAATCTTCTCGTTGCTTCAATATCAATGGATAGCGATTCTCCTGCATCTGTGAGGGCAGGCACTTGTGACCAGATTCCAGAAATGTCCACCTTAAATAGGCTGAGTCTCTGGTATGGGAACCCTGCCACCTTCAACTCACTATGATGGCCCCAGAGAGTGGGCTACAGGCAACTGGGAAAATGTCACAACCCACATTCTCCTGAAACCTCTTAAAATCAGTGTGTTAGCCCATCTTAGCTCTTCATAAGTATAAAAAGTAGAAATTCAGGAGCTAAGGTAGAGAATAATCTTCAAATTTCCCTGCAGCCTCATTGCCCTCTGGCTCAAAGAATATAGATTCTAATGTCAAGTGGATAATTTGGAATTATTATCAGAAATAGATAGTATAAGAGACTCTGTCCACCTAATGTTCACCTACCTGTACACACTACTGGGCATTTCCCACTAACAATTCCTGCTTTTTAGATAAGAGAGCACATAAAGGTTTTATTCTCTCCATCATGCTAAGGGAGCGAGAATGTAGATTTAAAAACCGGTGATCAAAATACCACCGGGTTGACAAACATGAACATTTTGACAAACAATAGTAACCGTATTTGAAACATTGCAATTACACAGGGGAAAAAATGGGCTTAGTGTACTAAGAGATAAATGGTTTAAATATATGGACATTAAAATAATATACAAAACAAATAATTTCACAGACCTGGTAAGTGATTACGCTTTGGTTCATGATAGGACACTCTGTTTGGCTTTCATTTGAGTATATAGAATGCACTTTTTAAACAAGAGGCTTTAATTTACCTACTGAAGAAACAATCTGTAATTTTATAATTAACAACTCTTAATAGCAAAGCCAAAATTCCCCGAAGTCATATGAAAGCAGCTGGACCATTATGAGTCATCTCAAATCTCCCTTCCACGCACAGAGGTAGGATTGGTGTCTGGCAAGAATGACTGAAGACGTGTAGCCCATGATGGCATCGATTGGGCTCAGTTGAATCCTTGGCAATAATACCTGAGTGGCAGTATGTTGTAGTGGCAAAAGCCTTATTAATCACCAGGTCTTGAACAGTCAATGACCAAGGTGGACAGGTCCCTGCATGTCCCATTTCACCATGATCCTTTTGATCAGTATGGATAAAGCTGCAAGTTCTTGAATATAACAATCATTTAAATTTCTGGAGGACAGGTATCTAGCTGAACCTGAACCGAGGCTGCTTGACAGTGGACTAAACATCTCTAACTTTACATCCAACCTCTAGTAATCAATCAGTGATAGCTCCAATTCACCAAAATGCTTTCATCACATCCTCCTAAACTAAGAACAGCACTTTATTTCCCTAAGGACAGAACTTTGAAACAGAAATCTCCCCAACAGAAATTTCAGAAAACACAAGAAAAATAACATTAAGAACATAAAATTCACTTTGCTTTTGAGCCAACACTGACCTTCTGTTCCAAAAGCAATGTGTTTGTAGGGATTGCTGCAAAAGCCTTGTAGCTTGACTTGGTCTTGTATTGCTAGAACGGGTAACCAGAAAGCAAGAGTAGAGATGAAAAGGGGGAAGATTAGGACACAATTTTAGACAGTTCTACCAAGTTCAATGACATGTTATCAAATGAAGAAAAGAGTTATTATGCTGAACAATTTGTTTCTGACAGAAAAGAAAAAATTTAGCTTACCATGTTAATATTTTATTAGAGCAAGAAGCAAAGAAATACTACCGTGAAGTATCAGCCTAGAGATTATAGGCAATTACATGCTACTCAGTTTCAGAACTTAAAAACATCCATTTCACAAAATTACATACAAATTTCTCATTAGCAGCAACCCTCAGAGGAGCACTATTCTATACATGAGTGTGGGGGCGGGGGAGGGTTCCGCTCATGCCTCAGAGGGATAAGGTTCTTTTTCATAGTGCTGTAATTAACAAATATTATGCATATAACTTTAATTGAGCTCTTGATACATTCTCTTGCATCATTCACAAAACCAAAGATCAGAATGCATAAAAGTTAGCAGCCAGTTTTAGCAAGCATCAATATAGTCAATAATGTGAATATAAATAATGTCATCAATTTAACTCCATAATGGAAAAATGAGCAGTACAAGCTCTCTATCTGAAACTCATTTTTTGATTCTCATCAGCATCTCCTGCACTTTCTAATACAGTAAGGCTAATGAAGCAAATGGCAAAAACTTCCTGAGCTTTAACCACAACTCACCCCAACTTAAAATTGGGATTTTGAATACAAGCTTTCTAGCTCAGGAACTCTTGCACATACCTATACTCGCCCTTGCCTCTCATTTCAGAGTGGGCAATCATTTAAAATGTTTCTTTGCCTTGCCTCAGTTTCTCTAAAGAATATAGCCGTGAAAGTCTGCACAGAGAGATATCTTGTTATTGCACACATGCCATAGAATCTAACATTCAGAGTGAATTTGAAAGTCATCTGGTTCAACCCCCTCATTTAAGACACGGATCTCTCTATTCAACAGCCATATGAAAGCTTGCCTATTTTCCAAAACAGCACATTCAGGTCTAAATGTTTGATTACTATAAAATTTTCCCTTATACTGAGCCCAAATATGCTTCTTGTTAAAGGACCTCATTGGTCCTATTTGTCCCTTCCCCTTGAAATCATGACTTTTTTTTTTTTTTTTTTTGAGATAGACTCTCAGTCTGTGCCCTGGGTAGAATGGCATGGTATCCGAGCTCACAGCAACTTCAAACTCTTGGACTCAGGCAATACCCTTGCTTCAGACTCCCAAACAGCTGGGGACTATAGGTGCTCACCACAACTTCCAGCTAGTTTTTCTATTTTTAATAGAGATGGGTCTTGCCTCCCAGCGTGCTAGGTTTACAGGCATGAGCCACTGCCCCCAGCTGAAATCATGACTCTTGCTGAGACCTATCTTTTGTATGATAGTTATTTTGCTGCCTTTATCAATTTCCTGATGCTCAAGTGAAGAATTCTACTACCTTTACTCTCCTCTAATGATATTCCTTTCAATTTTGAAAAGGTATGTGTGTAACTAGATGTGTTTTAGCGCAAAGTGGAATACAATCATCACACTCCATGATGCTGACAATAAATTCAATGAATGCAATGAAGGTGAAATAATGGAGATCACCTCCTTAGTTTTTATGTAGAGTGAAAAATGCACAGGAGAGTAGCTCAGAGTCATTTTGCATTATTGAATCACATTGAGTATGTTATCACCTAAAATTCAAAACCCTCTGATCTGGTTTTAAACATTTGTTGATAAGCTCCATCCTGTATTTATGCTTGTTTTTCTAGGGGAAAAGTACCCAAATGGGACTTTAGGTATCATCTCTGTCCAATTTCATCTGATTAAATTTGGTTTGCCATCATAAGCTATGAAGATAAGAATGTTTATTCTATTTCATGAACGATTTTGTTAGGTGTGGCATTTTAATCTTCATTCAAATCATGTATTAAAGATAGAGTACTTGCCGCTGGGTTCTCTCAACACGGTAGACATTGATGCCTCCTATAAATCTGTTTGGATATGGCAGTTCAACTAATAAATTTATTCAAGAAATGTTTATTGCAGATGTACTATATGATTTGCACTAATCCTCTCAGATATACTTACCCTTTCTTTAAAAGTCTAAAGACTTTTATAAGTCTAAAAGTCATACTTATTGCCACAAGAGATACTTTCTGGGCCCACTGCTTTTCCTCTGGGTTCTCTGAACAATATATGCTCGATCCAAATTGGAATTTTTTATTCTAATTTCTTCTCTACCTTTCCCAATCGTTGAAGTGCTACAGAAAATTCATTTGCTTTCCTTTTTAGCAAAAAAAATTATGAACTGTTCTAGTCAACATAATTCTAAATAACTTGCATTACTGCTCATGATATTACAGGCTGGAATCATCACTAGCTGATCATAGCAGGCCAAAAAAAAAAAGAAATGGCCATCCTAAACTTGAATCTGGCAAATTATACCTTCTCAATTTTTAATCTATGCTTTAAGTTAACATTCAATAAATATTTCTTAAATATTACCTGAGGCAGGGCAAAATTGAGGTTTACAAAAGAAAATAGCACCTCCATACTGAAGTTTACTAGAGATAACCCAATTTATAGGAAGTGCTAGTTACTACCATTTAAATGCTGTGTTTGAAGGTGAGAAAAGCAGAACATATTCTACCTTTTCAGAAAATATTTTCTAACACTACCCTGCCCACTACTGATGATGCCTAAGACTCCACCACAGGCCTCCAGTAATAATGACCCATAAGGTTTCAAAATGAACTTTGTTCACTGCCTGGAGAGTCAGGATTTGGACTCCTTAACCTCATTGTAAGTGCAGGTAAATTAAAGAACCTCATATAACATAAACAATAAGATGAGGGCAACTGGTGAAGAGCCCCGCTACCACCGTGGTCACCTTCTGGAAGCATCCATGAGCAAAGATGAGCTCATCACTCTAAAGGTGTGCTTCCTGCTCCTCAATGACCATGTCTGCACCACATGAGTCAAAATCTCCCTGATATCAGCCCTGACATGAAAGCCCCACCCAAGTGCTGATCCAACCCATAGGCGATCACCCAGACACCTCCCTTACATCTGGAGTTTTGACAAAGCACAGTCTATAGTGATTCTGATCATGCAAGGATTGGTTGTGGGGATAGAACTGTTGAAGACTGGCTGAAGAACATGGCCTGGCGAAGCAGGTGGCTACTGAGAAAATTTCCCTGGACAACTCCATGATCCCTCTCCACTCTGATTTATCCATTTGCGTTTCTAGCACCCCAAATGTAGAATATTTATACCATGATATGAGGTATTAGAATATTTTGCACTCTCTCCTCCTGCTAGGTCTTTTAGAGGAGAGATTTTATATTATTTCTCCTTTTATTTGCAATACAATACCAACATGGCAGAGAAGCAATGCTCAACAGATATTTGTTGACTTGAATTGAAATATTTAATTGAAGAATACAATAAGATTCAAAGAACATAAAAAGCCACAAATTCTAGTTCCTCATCTATGGTTTATATTCTAGACAAGCCTGGATGATTAGAGACCCTCTTCTCCCCCAACCAAGAATACCCTGAGGGTATTTTTAACACTGTAAGTTTCTGAAGTGACCTTCCTTCATGCTGTGAACTTACAAGATTTGAATTCTTGACCTTGACCCTGGGGTGTTCTTTTCCTTTGAAAAGTCTCTAAGTTAAGCTGCACAGCCCTCCCAATTACAATGCAAATACTCCCCTGGGGGTAAAAGAGACACTTTCTTCCATCATTGACAGCTGAGTGTGAATTACTTAACACCTGAGTGTGAATCATTAGACCAATTCAGAGAGGCTAGATGGGAGAGAAGGAAAGAGGATAGTAACAGAACTAGTTAATACAGTGGCATAAGTGACTGCATGGGTAGGAGATTTGGGGGAAGTCAAAAATTCCCAAAAAGCTACCAAGGACGTTGTGAAGAGGGTGGAGTAAAAGATAATGAGATAAAATAACAAAAAGGAAACATAAGACACTTAAGGCTGGTTTCAGCCTCACCAGAGTCACTGTGATCACACGCCTAAGTTGTTGCAATAACCTTCTAAACTCTTCCAGCTTCCACTCTCACCCTCTGAAGGTCTATTCTTAACAGCAGAATAGATAATACTGACTCACTTATCTGTTCAAACCCCCTCAATGGCTTCCTGTCTTACTGAAAGAAAGAAATCAAAGACTAAAGGGTGAACTTCAGGACCCCACAGACTCAGCTGCCAGCTACATTTCCCTCTGACAACCTCAGTGTCTGGTCATTCATTCCACTGTGCTAACAATGGTCCCAATTCTGTTTTTTGTACCTGTTAAGTACTCTCTGGCCTCAGGGCTTTTCCGTATTATACATTCCTAAAGATAATCATGTCCTTGGATGTTACTTTGTCAAAGAATCCTATCCTGTGGCACCAAGTAGCTTCTCTATTCTCCTCACCCTGCTCGACTTCTACACCACTGCGACCTTCTAATATGCAAGATAAGCTACTTCTTTGGAGGGGCTCTTGTTGATTCTCTTCCTTCCATGGTAGAATATTAACTTTCTTTGATAGGCATTTTTGGATGTTTTATTTCATAGCTTTGGAAAGCGCATATTACGTACTCATTACATATTTATCGAATGAGTAATTTGTTTGAACCCAGATTACCTATTTTAGCTACTAGAGATACATTCCATAGTGCTCATTTCCCAGATTAGACGTGGTTCTGTAGAAGTACAAAAAAAATCACCACCAGGCTGCTGCCACCAAGTTTTTCAATGCAATAAACTTGGAAATGTTAAGATTGCGATTTTTATAAATAAAATACCAGCTATAAATTTTTATGAGATATCAAAAGGTTCCCAACTCATTCCCTAAACAAACCATGTGTCCAAATAGCTTTAAGGCCAGGACTGGCCCATCCCTGAGGGCCCTCACAGTTGAAATAGATCGTCAGACTATCTTTAATAAGTGGCAGACTGTATGAGATTTTAGTGTAATAGTCACCCCAATTTCCATATGAAATAGCATGATAACTCACTAGGAGAAAAAATTAAACTCTTCTATAAATAAAGTCAAAAGATACTAGACACCAGAACAATCCCCTGGATGAATGTTGTGATGTCCAGTCTTAGCCAAAGGGGAAAAAAATGTCTCAGACAATATAAAAGATCAAAAGGTATCCTGAGAAATATTCAAGGAGACACCCACCCAGTCTAGGGCCCTGATTATGATGTGAAATGATACTTTAAAATTATATTGAAATTAATATATCATATCAATTATACCATACTAATGCAAACAGATTCAGAACTGTAAGACACTATCTATGAAAAAGAAACATCAAACGTGCTTTATATCTGAATTTAGCTCAGCAGACTCCAGCTGACCCATTTTATTTTAATATCAAAGGACAGAAGGGCCCAGACTTTGAACTAATATTCTTCAAGCATTTGCATTTTAATTTGATGGCTATCTAGATTCTAGGACCCCTATCCTTCTGGGATCTGGGAGTGAATGAAGCTGACCTAGCTCTGAAGCTCTTTGACTTCAAAAAGAGCCCTGTGCTCAGATTTGCACCACACTGGAAGGGGCAAGACAAGAAACTACCCAAGAAAGCACAGAACTGCTTTGCTATCACAAAGCTTTTGTCTATCTCCTCCTATCGTTCTATAAAATAATCTTACCAATTTAAACAACACTAGGCAAATGTCAAAAGACATTGAGATAAGATTCATCTAGCCCAACATCAATTTCAATGAACTTTTTATACTCAAGTTAAATGTATGAAAATAATAGTTTGTAATAAGAAAATTTCTGATTTTTACCCAGAGAGATAATATAGCAAAATGTGAGCATATAAATATGAAAAAGACCAGCACATCTCAGAGAGCAATGATTTTTGCAGAAGTTATAACAAATTGTCCCTGAGATAAGAAGCTTCTTTTTATCTGTTCAAAGGAATAGATGAGTATTTTTACTGGTAAGTAAATTATAATCATTCTTATGTTCGTGTTCATCAAATTTATCATGAATTCCTATAAGCTTGAATTTTCTTAACTTGGAAATAATACAAAGGAAAAAGAAAAAAATAAATTTTCATTGTGGGGAGCAGAAAATAAGTCAAGGAAAAATAGGTCTTCAATTTACAGACCCTTAATTTATCAAAAGCCCTCCGGGCTCACCCTCTGTCAGCTCTCTGACTATACCCAAAATAGACAGAACATAAATAAACCACAGTGAACCACGTATAGAAACAGTTTGGAGAAGCTTCTGGAGCAAAATTACTTTTCTCAAAGGTAATTAATGACTTAAGTGTATGGCAGCATGGCTAAAGAAATGGTAATTTAAAAAATCAGGAAATGGTAATGATTAGTTTTCTAGGTTTTTAAAAAACACCACAAATGAATTTTATGATAACACCACATATGTGTTGAAATGATAGTAAGCATGTCATTTTGTCTCCAGTAAATAAGAATTTTAAATTTAGAATTATACGCAAAATTAAATTTTATTCACCTCATTTGCTTTGATCGTTTAAAATACAAGGACTAAATAATCTCTAGTACATTTGAAAATGACCCAGATACTATATAAATTGAGAATTCTGGTTAGTATTCCTTAACAATAATTTTCTGCATGAAAATTAAAAAGTCAAACTAAATTAGTAATTAATGAAGTTATTACATAGTAGCAATAAGTCATAGTAATAAATAACATGGCTTCTAGAATCAGCAGACTTAAATTAATATAAATGTCAGCTCTGTACCCGATACGGAACCTGAACAAGCTATTCACTGAATTGTAATTTTTGGTGTACAAAATAGGGATAATAATATTATCAACCTCATATGCTTATAAAAATTAACCTATCTTAATTAATTATTCAACTATTTTGTATAACTACTGGAATTTTTCTTGACTTCCAGAAAGCATTTGATACCTCTCATCACTCTTCCTTCACAAGGCCAGTCTTCCCACTTCCCCACACACAGTCTTCTGAGTTCATCGTCTGTATTTTTGCTCAGTTTGCTTTCCATTTCTGAAATGCTGACCTCTCTCCTGTTCATTAGCTTAAATCCCAAATATTTTCAACAGACCTGACATTTTTGATAAATTTCCTCACTCAGTAGATCTCAGCATAATATTCCTATTTCAAGGGTGTCCCAAAGGCTGCCCGTAAGGTAACCATATATAGGGAAATGGGAAATTTTAGCTAAAAGTAACTTTACTTACAAAATATTCATTCTAAAACTTTACAAGAAACAACCAACACCTAAAGGATCTTTTATAAATATTTTGTAAAATTTTGGAAGAAACATTTTATAAGTAAAGATACATTTAACTACATTTTCCAATTTTCCTTATGCAATTGATGGGAGACTTTTGGGACACCCTGTATATTGAACTCAGTCAATAATTATCCTATTTGTAATCTGACTTATAAAATGTTGATCTTGCCTTATACTTGTTTTCTAGCTATATTGTAGGTTTCATAACTCTATATAGCCTCTTCACGTCATGTAGATGTATATTTTTTTCTGCTCAATAAAATTGAATTTTTTTAAAAAACCCGAAGTATTACCTCTCGGTTTCCCTTAGAAAAACCCTCCACACTCCAGAGAAAGCTAGTGCAGTCGTGGGCATATATAGATGTTCAATGCATGCTCTTTAAGTTCAGTTGTGTTGCAACATCCTTCACAATCACGAGGGCCTCTTCAACACTTCACTCTTACGTTAATTGTGTAAGTGACAGAGTTAAACACACTCTCTATGAGATTTGGAAGTTCCAGAATTATTTCAATACATTGAAAATTCCCACTCCTACTACAAGCACTTTTATAATTTTATTTTATTTACATAACAACTATCAAATTCTTTGGATTCTATAAAATCCAGAGTTTGAATTATCTCAGACTAGCTGGTAAGCTGGAATGCCAGAGAGCAGAGTTGCCTGCAGAGAACTGAACTATGGTGTGATTCTTTCAAATCCCTTCTCATAGTGAAAGAAATGCCGTTTTCACATCTTTACTCAGTGGGTTGCTTCAGAGCATTTAAAAACGGTAGTCTCTTCTCTTAATTCTACCTCCTTATACAAGCTTTGCCATGCTTTCCATATCTCCTAATTGCTAAGTATTTAGTGTTTATAATAAATCAAATGATTTTCACACATAAGGAAAATTTCTATTCCTCTTTGTCCTACATGTATATAGCTAAACCCATAGTGACTTAGCTTGTGGTATGGAGAGTAAGGAAGAAATCAACCTGCTGGAGGATACTAATAATAAATGAATGTGGGTAAGGGAAATAGAAAATTTTCAATCTGGCTTGGCCACTGTTTGGAACTAGATGTAAGGTAATATTCTATTTTATCCTAATCCTGCCTCCTATTCTGTCAGTACACAATATTCTGATGGATAATAGAGCCCCTGTTATTAAGTAATCAGAAATGTATCATATTCCCAAATCTCAACAAGCTGCTTTGACTCTGTAATTAGGACCAATGATATAACTCAAATGATGCTTGAGGGGAAAATGCCCTCGTTATCATATATATAAGAGGCTACCTTAGGAGCACTACTTGTAAAACTCAAAGGATTTGACTGAAACATGTCATTTTAGACAGATGATAATTCATCTCCACATTCAAACATACCGCGTCCTAACCGCCTCCCCTTGTCCTTTCTCTATCTCCTTACCGGTGCAGAATGAACTTTATAATGATTGATTCTTTTCCCCCTGGTAAAAGCAGATTCTTTTCTATTTCAAAGTAAGCATGCACCATGCAACGTGCAGAAAATACCTTCGGTTTCTTGTTTTCAGGGCCTGTTGACATGGGCAATATACAAGGTGAAACCAGCTCCTCAGTTCGTGCTAGAGAAATGGGAAGTGACGGGGTTGAGTCAGGTGACCCGTGGTTGGATATGATGCTTTCAGTTTTCCCGAGTCTTGAAGGCAGGGTACTACGACTGCCACAATTTGCGTACAGTGCTGGGGGACTGAGCTGCAGCGCCCTGCTGGGCAGGTCAGCACGAGGCAGGGAGGAGGTCCCCAAGTTGGGAAGAGAGAGCGAGCTAGGACTGGGGATAGGAAGTGAAGGAAGAGCTGAGTGACTCGGCTGCTGGCCAGACAGTTGAGGGGACGCTCTCTGGGATCTGTTTATCAGGTTTGAAAGAGCTGGGGAAGGACGGAAACACTTCTCTGGAGTGGAGAGCATGGCTCTTTGATTAACCGGAGGAGATGCAGATAATTCAGGAGAGGCTAAGGTAGAAGCGTGTGTGTGAGTACTTCTCTGCTTTTCTGGACTTCTGAGGTCACCTTCCTGTTGGCCCTTCCAAGAAGAAAGAGGGGAAGAGCTTGGTGGGACAGGAGGGAGGCCTGCAGAACTCGGGGTGTTGGTCTGTAGCAGGGGGAGCGTGGTACTGCCCTTCAAAGTGGACGATGGTGTTTTCTCCACTTCCAGAGAAACGAGGCTGCTACTAACGTGTTTCGTGGGAGAGTGGGAGGACGCCTGAAAAAGGGGAGCGGTGGCCTGGGTGGGGAAAGGCAGGTGAGGGGACCGCTGCGTCAGCTCCGAGTCCTGGTCCGGAGACCTGGCTGTCAGGGAGCAACTGGAGAGAGACTTTTTAGGCGTGGGTGGGGTTGGCTTTGGTTTTTGATCAAGTGTGAGAGTGGACGAGGCCAGGGAGTTGAGAGAGAAGGTGGGGCAGGATGCGGGGGAGAAAGGTCTTTGGTGAGAAGGCTTTGACTTGAGAATGGCAGTGAGAAGGGAGAGCCGGGAGGGCACCGGGGACTTCAGCCCTGACTTGGAAAGATTCCCGCTTGATGACATTTGGCTACAGATGGTGGAAGAAGAGCCGTGGAAAGAGGAGGCGAAGGGTTGCGGACTCGGCGACAGGGAGTGCATGACGATGCGGACCGGGATGTAGGAGGCTGAGGCTGAATCCGACCCGGGAGGCGCGCCCGCGCGAGGGGACGACGACGCTCGCGGGCCTTCGCCGCCACCAGGGACGCGCGCAGTGGCCGTGGTCTTCTTCGGAGCTTCGGCGGCCGGGCCGGCTTTCTGAGCCGCTGCGCTGGGACTGGACAAGTTAGAACCTGGCAGCTGAGCAGAATGGGGAGCCGGGAACGTCGAGGAGGCGCCCTTCAATGCAGAAAAGGGCGAAGAGTGGGCAGAAGTTTGAAAATACGTAGCCGATTCTTCCACCACCGCCCCACTGGCATCCAGCCTCCTAGTGTGGAACTCCTCGAGGACAGAGGCTCCGCGGAGGTCAGCTGGGTCAGGTAATGTGTTCTGATTAGTTGGAGAGACAAAGGAGAAAGCAGGTGGTTTACAGGCAAGCTGCTCAGAGGTAGTGGGAGAAGAGGTTGACTAGAGGAAAGAGAAATAGACAGATTGAGATGGGACATTACTTGGGAAACTACCCAAACACTCCTGTCACTCGTGCGATCGTGCAAACACCCCTTCTACTGATTTGCCCAAAGGGAGGCATCTTAAACCTCCATTAAAAATGGAGGAAATTCTGTTTGGCTAATGAGGCGTTGCTTTGAATTCGAAATGAGATATAAAGAAGCAGTGAAGTAATAGATCCTCTACTCCATTTATTCCTGAGAATGAAAATCAATTTGGAATTGCTTCGCCTGTTGCCATTTGGAAAATAATCCACTGACATCTAAAATAGTTATCTTAATTTTGAATGGCATTATCTGAAAGGCCTTGAATCACCATCAGTATAAATTTCAAAATTCACTTTGGAAAACGAAATAGATTTTCTTCCATCATAGAATCATAATGACTACAATCCTTTAAAAAGAATGGACACACTGTCAGCAGGTCTTTTAAATTCTAAGAACTCGGATTGCTTATTTCTACATAGTGTGCATATGGAAAAGTGCCAGAATTCAAAAAAAATGCAGCAGCACCCAACCCAACAGCAACACGGAATGAGAAATTGAGAGAGTAAAAGCAAAGCAAAGTCCCAAATAGAGAGAAAGGGTGAGTTATTTTCACCAATTACTGGCCAGAATGAACATTTAACTTGGACCCGGAATGGGCATTTAACAAGTGATTTTGATTATGCTGGAGGAAACAGGCTCTCTTCCATATCCAAAGAAGTCAGAACACTTTTCAAATACGATCAACCCGAAACCAACACAACCCACCAGTCTCACACCAAATAAACAACATGTTATTTTATAGGAGAATCCAGGCAAAGCCTATGAAATAACTAGGGGCATTTTTTGTGTGTGTGCCATTCTAAAAATCATCTAGTACTTTCAGCAAAGCACCCAAGTTATAAATGATTTTAAAGCCTTTTAATCAGAGGTTTCCCTTCCAAGTTAACTGGTTTGGTTCTGTTAATTACAAGAGAAAGGATGAATGTGCCTGTCTAATAAAGAATTTCAGGAATATCAGTCACTCAAAATATTAAAAATACTAATATATATACATAAATATTGCATTAAGAACATAGCATGAAAGTGTATGTGAACATAATTAAGCTTAGCAAAAATTTAGTTAACAAGACATTAAAAGGTATTTTTTTTTTTTGAGACAGAGTCTCACTATGCTGCCCTCAGTAGAGTGCTGTGGCATCACAGCTCACAGCAACCTCAAACTCTTGGGCTTAAGCGATTCTCTTGCCTCAGCCTCCCAAGCAGTTGGGACTACAGATGCCCGCCACAACACCTGGCTATTTTGTTGTGGTGGTGGTGGTAGTGATGGTGGTCATTGTTCAGCAGGCCTGGACCGGGTTGAACCTGTCAGCCCAGGTGTATATGGCCAGCATCCCAACCACTGAGCTATAGCCGCCATGCCTAAGAGGTATTTCTTGATGTAGCTTATATTGTGTTAAGGTTTCCAGCAGATTTAATGCAAAAATTTTCATACCATATGGTTTTGATCTCTAAAAATATTGAAAACTGACAAATTCAAACAACTCCCCCCAAATTTCTAAGTTTCTAAGTAAACATACCCTAAATATTCCTTTTCATATGTCAGTTCATGTGTATATTTGTGCCACAGAATAATTCTTCTCACATAAATAATATTTGAATACATCACCATAAACGCAGGCTATCAGAAAATCAAGGACAATTGAAAATCAAGCAGAATTCAATAACATTGAGAAAGAAAGCTTCGTAATTTCCTCATACAAGTTTTACTTAGAAATAACTCTGCTCAGCCCATGTTTATGTAACTTACTCATGTGGTTAGGGAGATATTTAAATCCAAATACTACCAAGTAGGCAGCTAAAATTTCTGTAACTACAAAAATAACATTTTGTTTGGCATTATGGGATCATTTGTAGTCAAATTTATGTTTAAAAAAATCATTCTCTTAAGGTTACTAATGTATATATAGGGCTTTTTTGAGGGTTTGGGGGTTTGTTTTTTTATAAATTAAAGGTCTTCTCTGATTGTTTCCTGTGATTGATCTCTCTTCACAGAAAGAATGAAGCCATTGCAAAACCATGTGGGATATCTGTGTGTTGTGCTATGTCTAGAACAGGGGTGTCCAACCTGTGGCCCACAGGCCACAAACTGATTTTGCAAAGACTTTTTTTTTTTTTTTTTGGTTGCCTGTTGTGTCAGACAGCATGAAAAGTATGCACAGACCATTTCTTTGCTAATCAATTTTCATGACTGTTTGGTATCTAATGCATGGCCCAAGACAATTCTTCCCATATGTGGCAGAGAAAAAAGAAGATTAGACAGCCTTGGCCTAGTGTATTTGGCAAACAATTTTGTAAATTTAGAATAGCAGCTACAAAATCCCATTACCTGTTCAGTCATGCTGTTTGCAAATAATTTCAGTGCATATGACAAACTCATTATCTTGATTATCAACCAAATTATCAGTATTTTAAGATCATAGATTTGTACCTCTCAGACCTCACATCCAACTTTCTCAACATTATGGCTTCTAATGATCAAACCTTCTGCTACGTAAGTAATATTTTTCCTAACATAAATAACCAAGAGTTTTATTGTACTTTTTAATACAATTTAGAAGTTGATCATTGAACTTCTAAGAGAAGGACTCTGAAAAGTCTAAAAATATCTGTTCCTACTAATCTATACATAATTGTTATGATAGGTTCACATATAATATAAGTATCTGAAATATACAGCATTTCTTTTTTATTGTTTCAGGTTAATTGAGGAGATAACGATACAGTATTTATTTTTAACCTTCAAAAACACCGTGATACCATCCTAATTTATACTAATATAAAAATGTAGAACTCTACTGTATTTTTGCAAAATTCTCAGGAGTAAAGGATTCATTTTTTTAATAAAAAATGTTTCATTGTTCTGAGTTCCTCTCATTACTAAATTTTTTAAAATGAGGGTAAAGATGTGAATAATTTCATGTGGAAAGAAGGCCTGAGCACCTGCTGGATTCTCAGTCACTAGGTCAGAATCAGTCTTTCATTTTGCTTCTTCCCAGTCAGTCCCTTACCACTGACACCAAACTTCTCGAGGGCTGCCTACAACTTCTTTCCACCCTTTTTCCTCCCTTGCTAATAACTCCTAACATTGTTCTCTAGGCTTGTTACTGATGCTCTAAATTCCTTCTCCCTCAAGACTGTTCTCTCTCTTCTCATGATTTACTTCTTCCCTCATCTTTACTGATTCCAAAGCTGCAGACATCCCTCTAGAGCTACCTACGCTTTCGTTCTCCATTCCCCAGAACTTGAGCCCCCGCCCCGCACTCTTCTTCCAAAGTCTTCTCAAGCTCTTAATCCTGAACTCCAGAATATACTCACCATAATCTCAAGAACAGACGATGCTTGCACTGAGCTGCTCTCACTAGTTAGATGATCCTAATCATAAATTCACCCTCCAATCCTGCATAATGGAGACCATCAGTTATTTTCACAACTTACCTCTACTCTATACCTGCCTTGTGATTTTAGTAAATCTGAAATTAACTGCCTCTTCAGATATTCAGTTTTCCCTAATGTGTCTTGAGATCTCAGAGCATCTGAATGAAAGCTGAAATCATGGATCTGCTACCTGATATTTTGAACAGTGCTGAGATTTTACTAGGACCAGATGTTAGTGCCGTATAGGGTTCTTCCTCCTGGATCTGTACAGCTATGGAAAGCAGGAACCCTAAATTTCCCACAGGAAAGAGTCTGTGGAAAGCAGGAACCCTAAATTTCCCATTATTCTAACATGCCAGGTGTTCCCTTGTGGCAGCTTGGGCTCTCCAACTTATGTAATGATTGGTCCTCTTCCCTCTGATGAATACTCGTAATCCACTACTGGGTAGATTCTCCGCCTTTCTTTCCTGAATGTATTAAATAATATTTTCTAATGTCTCTAGTTCTCATTCTGTCCCATTCAACTTACTATGAGATTGACTTTTAAAATCTGATGACCTATGCTCAAGATGTTATCAGTACTTTCTTTGTGTCTACCACGAACCAGAGCTCTTTCCCTCCTGGCAGAGCCCCTCTCTTGCTCTCCAGGCTCGTCCCTGTAATCTTCTGTTTTCATTTTACATTTCAGTGAGACTTGGTTCAATCTCAACTTTCTTGCCAGCACTGTCAACACTCGACCTCTCTTGGTCTCTCGTCAATCCACTTTGCAAATCCTCCTTTTCAAATCAACCCCAGCAACTGCCATTGTGTTCCTAGATCTATTTTACTTAAAGTTGCTATAAGAAAAAATTGGCAGCACCTTGTCAATGGGCAGCATCATGACAGCTGATGTATAAACGGTGTTCCACACAAAGGCACCAGCTGTGGGTACGACTGAATTCCCTGCATTTGTGTGAAGAGCAGGCACCTTTCTCAATCCACATGTGGGCTGGTGGGGCACTTGGACAGGTTAAAGCACAAGTTCAATGTCAGTAGTCTCAGTCGGGCCCTGTGCCTTTCAGCCGCTCAGCTTTTTTGTTGGTTGTTTTTCTTTTCTTTTGTTTGGACCTTGGCCTCCTCTCCAATCCTGCTCAACAACTCTTCTGAAAGGTTAACATTTTTCATGAACCCCTAACCCACAACTTCCCTCATTACACTCAAAAGATGACCTAGATTTTTTCAATTTTGTCAATTTTTTCTAGATTCACTTTCATTCCCTTTCCTTCATTCTAAGGAAAAGTAATGATGCTTTGCTTTTTAAAAGGTGAATTCTTCCTGGATTCTGCGGTTCTGCCTTCTTAGAGATCACATTTCACCAGTTGGCCTCCATGTCCCACATATTTATCATTTTTATTTTGTTACCAGCTCTCTCATCCTAACATACATAAAGCAGAAATGTTCTCAATCTTTCTAAAAACATAATAATATCATTATGACTAACAGTGAAAATACCTACAGTTCTCTAGGCTTTCCATATAAAAGCAAAGTTATTTTCCCCAC